CCTTCCAGTTCTTAACCCGCAACTCCAACAACGTCATCATCACGAGGTTATCAACAAAAATTAAATAAGGCTCAAAAGGGGAGACTAGGGAATAATTTTTAGAGAAAAAAAGGATATAATACAATAAACGCCTTAATCATATACACAGCTCACAATTCTAATCAATTTATTTCAATGCAGACTCAGGGCAAGTTCTAATCGAACAAGAACACGACCAATGTATCTCAAGAAAACAAATAAGGCTCAAACCTCACTAGGTAGATATATGAATGCCAATCAAATTAATCAACCAAGCATTTCATCACGCTATGCCGCATATGACCAACATCACAACTCATCGAATTCATCAAACAAGTCTTAACTAATTTTGAAATTTCCAAAGTCCATACTAAAAAAAACACATGAACTGACTCAAGACAAAAAACACATAAGCTAACGCAAGACAAAAAACTCAAAAGAAAGGGCAGAAGGGGAAACAACTCAAAAAACAAAATAAGAAAAGGTGTGCAAACCGAAAGCTTCGAGGGGAATAAACATCCACGTGCAAGCTGCTCGCCTATGCTCAGCCTCGCGAACTCATACCTGCTAATCAGAAAAATACAGAACTCCAAAACTCCCATTATTCAAAGATAAAACTAAAAGCGTAAAGAAAAATATCTAAGAAAGCGATAAATGACTTGGATTGCCTCCCAAGAAGCGCTCGTTTAACGTCATTAGCTTGACGAAACCTGAACCGAAATTAACCGGGATCCAAGAAAAAGTGTCGATCATGCCACGCCTTCGTACTCTCCAAAAGTAGTCCCATTGGTAGCAAGGAATATAGGCAAGCAAAGTAGACTCTCGTGGCCGTATTCTTGTGAAACCGAGCATGGATATCAACACCCATCAAGAGAAAAGATATTTCTTTACGTACCAAGGCCCCATATTCGACCTCCGGAATTATGAACATGTCTGTGGAGCATGTCGAATCCATTCCGGTCATCACCAATGCCATCTCGGATGTGTGCTCAATAATTTTGGGAGTCGGAAGCATGTGCATGTATGCACTAAACTTCTCCAAATGTTCACCATCCTCGATAACACGAAATGACCACCCAAAGGACATGGGAACCACTTCGTACTCAACATCATGAGTCGGGTCATTCATCAATGCACACTTACACTTCGGGTCAATGGCCTCACACAATGACTCGACATCCTCCTCGACCTCATCCTTGACACCATGAACTACCTCCTCCTCACAATCATCATCCCGAGCTCTTTCAAGACTACTCTGCACAAGCGTATCCTCAACTGAATTATCCCTCATACCATGCACGGTATCGGCCTTTGAGTCCATACACTCGCTCTCATCAATAGAAATCGAACTCAACGCACAATCACCGAAAGGTAGGGTTGAAATCGAACTCAACGCACAATCACCGAAAGGTAGGGTTGACGTATCTAACACGGATTGGAATCCCGTATCGTCATAAGACTGGAATCTTCTAACATACAAATCATTGATGTCCACACTCGCGTCGAGAGATTGTGTTCCATCATAAACGAGAGTGAGGCCCATCTCTTTGAAAGAAGCAAACTTATCCACCATATATTGAAATTCTCCCTCTAACCGTGCGCTTTCTCGACAAACTTTTGCCGATAGATACTCATATCTACCAAGAGGAATATGAGATGTGTCCAAGTCGAGGAAAGAAATAACGGTTGAGTCGAACTTCGTGAGTTTGGCTTTAAGATCAGATAGAATAGGGATGATCTTCCAATTATGAAACTCATCTATGATCGATAGGAGGCTCGCAAGTATCTTTCGGGTGCTCGTCGAAACCTCTTGGTGATAGTCGGTAGATGAAGGCTTGTAATGAGGCGTCTCGTAGTTAGTTGGAGTGTAATAATCATAATCGCCTTGAGATGTTGGGTAAGAATGGCTCGGGCCATACTCTTGGAATGGAGAGTATCCGTCATAGAAATAGGGATTTGAATAGCTCGGACACGGATAGGGTGGCCCTCCATAAGAGTACATCTTCTCTTGGTAGTTGTCGGGGTATCCACGAGACGAGCTTTCGGCATAAGAATGGCCGTACTGGTCCATCAGAGCTCCTCAAGCGAAACACCTCGCACAAGAAAAACAAAACAACCAAGGCACACGAGACCAAAGAAAACAAAAATGCAACTAACAATACACGATATTTACACAAATCCAAAAAAAAAAAGAAACAGAAAATAAGAAATCAAGAGAAACACTAAAATTAAGCAAATATCACAAGAGCAAGAGAAATACGAGAAATAAAATCAACACCAAAACCAAATATCCTACTTGTCTTCCCCGGCAACAGCGCCAAATTTGTTGTAGCAAATTATTTTTATTTTTACCGAGTACCGAATCAAAAGATTCGTTCCCCGGGTCGATCTCTCGAGGAAGACGGTTCGGAATCTAGCGTTGGTATTAATCACACACGAAAAGAAAATAAGTCCTAAACACTCTAATCACTATTAATTTGGTGAATTAACTAAAACAAGCTAGAACTAGAAAAGAAATTTAAAGAAATAACAATTAAATCTCTAGAGAAAAGGAAGAAGTTCTAGGGGTCGGGAAATCTCATTAAGTCTTAAACTATGTTGAATGATTATTTGTTCGGTTACGAGATTTAACAAGCCTACACGTCTAGAGGGCTATGCTCAATAACTCTTCGTAACAAGAGCACATACATAAACGATAAACTCATTCAAACAAGCAACACATAGACAATACGTTTCCGAACAAGTCTACTCTATACGAGCCTAAATCGACCGACATCTCCCCTCTCGGTTCTAAACGTCGATTAACTAGGTTAGAATGGTGATCAATCAACTAACCCTATAATTCACACAACTCGCATAGATTGAACAAAACACATTCCACATAATTCAAACAAGAATCAAAATCCCTAACCCTAGGTGAATGGATTACCTCATGCTTAGATTCAATCTCATGTTAACTGGAATTAAGAACATTAAACAAATCAACAATAATAAAATAGAATTTAAAAACTTACAATCGGATTAAGACTTGAAAGATTTCAATCCAAATGTCTTTGTGTCCAACAATCCAAGCATGAGAAAATAAAAAGAAAAGCGAAGAAAATTATCCTAACAATATTGAGTTTTTGGAGAGAAAAATTGAAAGGAACGATATTGGGGGTTGTTCCTTAGGTCTGGAGGTTCGTTTTGATATATAATGCGCGAAAAATGGAGCTAAAATGAGTAAAAACGAGCAAAAATAAAAACAGGGGTCGACAGGGTCGCGACTCGCGAGTCGCGAGTTGGACGGGTCGCTGGGCTGCTGAGGCTCTGTTAAAGTCGCGAGTCGCGACTTTTCTCTCGCGAGTCGCGACTAAATCTCGCGACTCGCGACTTTGTGCTCGCGACTCGCGAGATTCTGGGCTGCACTGCGCCATTTTGCGTTTTCGCCTCGTTTGAGCTCGTCCGAACTCAGAATTGAGTTCCGTTTTTACCTATGCGTCGCTAACGAACCCCTCTATCCAGTTATGCTCTCGAAACCAACTTTTCCTGAAGAGAAAGTTTGCCCAAATCTTTCGACCTACACACCAAAAACGACAAAACACAAAGGAAAACCGGAAAAACAAACAAAAAATACCTAATGACTCAAAATGAAGGAAAACACATAATAAAACACGAAACGGACTAAAAACTAAAGAAACGACCTAAAATGGGGGGAAAAGAAAGATAAAACAAATACGAAAAACGCAACAAAAATGGGACAAACAGCCGACACTAACGACAAAAGAGAGTCTGGCAAGCAAAAAGAAAAACAAGTGAAGGACCCTACCATTTTGGAGAACAACACAAACAAGACATCCGCCTCAGAAGAAGACTTGCCAGCGATTGCCATGTGATCCTTGATAATTGAAGGCCCTACCACTATGTAATGTAATAATGTAGCAAGTCATGCCATAAGTGTAGTCCCTACCTCTAAGAAATAATGTAGCAGACAACTCATGTAGGGTTCATCTGCTTTTTCTTCCCCTTTTCATAATGTGTTTGGTGAGACGGCAACTTGTGCTGAACCCCAATAATTCACGCATTTTAGTTTCTATATAAGGGAGTGCCATTTTAGCATGTAAGGCATCAATCCCTCATCAGATTTCTAAGTTTCATTCTCTGTAAACATTTTATATTCAATAAAAAGTTGTTCTTTTCAAAAAGGTCCCGAGATTTATAAAACAACATTAAGCATCAAACACTTAGAAGCTATTAAGCTTCAACGAAGGATCAAACAAAAAGCTTAGGCTAAAATTCTCTGGAGATTCCTGGAGACACAATCGCTCGTCGGAGTAAGACCTACGGAGAAGGGCTGTAAGGCGACTTGGAGCACAGTGTTTGGAATTTGAGAGTAAAAGCAGGAAGCCATGGTGGACCAATCATCTCAAGCACACTAAAAGAACTCAAACCCCAGAAGAAAGGTATGAACTCAGGACTCTTTAATAATATTTTTAATAACATTGAAAATTGCATGCAATTACCTATAAGGTTAGATAAATATGAAAAATTAAAAAGATTAGAAAATAATCTTTTAAAGTTCATTAAGCTAGAAATTATAGAGAAACTAAAAATTCTAGAAAATGGTGTTCAAAGACAAACTATTAGAAATAATAGACAAAGAATAAAAGATAACTATTACAATCATATTCATTCATCACTTGTAACTAGAGAAAAAGAGTTAGCTAAAATTATATCAAACTTAGAAAAACTCTGTATATAAAGAATGCCTGCTATTTCGTGGGAATATATTTTAGAATCAACTATTCAAATGTTGAAAGTTAAGTATCGAACTTTGATTCGAACTTGCGATAAAAATCTGATTGCTTCGGATATTGAAAGAATGGCTTATAGCCTTCGACTCGTCCAAAACGAGAATCCATTACAACCCCAGAATTTGAGGTTTGTAAAAAATGGATTTATCATGGCAGAGTCTCATCTTTCTCATGAGTATTCCGCATAAATCACAGTTTCAAATAAATTCAAAAGAAGAAAAAGAAAGAACAATTTCTTTTGAAGATTGTTTTATCTTTTAAAGATGAAAGAAGAGTTTGAAATTATTAACGAAAGATTAAATGCTAGTTCCATAAGTTTAGATATGTATGGTAATATAAGAAAAAATGAAATAGATTTATTTGAAAAATCTAGAGAGGATCTTTTACAAAATCTAGAAAATCTTATATATGGAATTACACTCAAGAAAAATTATTATAAAAGGCATTCTACAAGAGATAATTATTATGGAGATTGTTTTTCAGAAATAGAAAGACAAGTTAATTATCTGAAAAGTATAAAGAAAAAATTGAAAAACTAAGATTTAATATCTAGGAAATTCCGCAAAAATGGTCATAAACCTGAAATTAAAAGCAGCAACAAAACAACAAAAACAAAATAAAACAGCAAAAACAAAATGGTATCAGAGCCTGGTATCAGGCGAAAATACTAAAATTTTAGATTAAAAGTCTAATGGATAAACAAAATAATCTTTTAGATTACTGTATAAAGCACGAAAAATCAGGCTATTTAAATGAAGCCTTGATAGATTCAAATAAATTAGGAATAGCAGATCATGACTTAAAAAAGAATCATAACTTCAGAAATGAAGGATTGGTAAAGAAATTAAATAACTTAATTTCTAGAAAAAATGAAATATTCTTTGGAATCATTTCTGGAGAAGAAGCAATAGATACAGATCAAACAGAAGAAAATGTAGTTATTCCTGTTATCTGTAAAGAACAAATTCTTTCTACATTGAAAGATATAAAAACAGAAACTAGGAATAAAATCTCTTACTTACATGTTTCTACTATACAAATGATTCTTAAATCAACTTATAGTCTAGGAATAGATTCTCCCATTACAATAAGATTAATTGATAATAGAATGATTAATTATTCTGATGCATTAATAGTTGAAGGGAGTGAAAATTTAAAATTTGGTAAAGTTAAGTTTAACTTAAACTACCAAGTTGGAATGTCTTTATTATACAATAATTTAGATGATTCCATCACTTTGTGTTGGAACATGAAAAGAAAAATAATGAAAACTGGAAATCATCCATTTTCAGTAACATGGAGAATAAACTATGCTTTGACTAATAGTCATCACAGTTTGTCATTCAAACCTCATGATAAAATTGAAATAGATGAATTGTTTTCACCAATATTACAACTAGAAGCACCTAGAAGGTCCTTTCAAGTACATAGAACTTCATCTTTTGTTAGACCTAAAATAGAATACATTACTCCTAAACAGAATAATGAAGAAAACGAAGCAAGTTCTTCGAAAATAGATAATTGTACTGAAGTAATCATAAAACCGAATAACAATATATATATAATTGAACAAAAGGTTCAAGAGATAAGTAAAGAATTAGGAATTAAAATATAACAAGTTTTAATAAAGTATATAACGAACTTACTTTCGTTATATCATAAAGAAAAAACGAAAGAACGTTTGTTATATTACATAAGGGCATTTTTTACCCTTCATTTATTACATTTTATAGAAAAGACAAAAAAGGTCATTTAAATAAATATGACCTTTGACTAGGTCACTTAAATAAACATCCCCTGAAAAATGGAGCTTGGGTGTTTTGTAGGAAAATTAGATGGTATATAGGGACCATTTTGCAAATTTGAAAAAAAAAACTTGATTATACAGCAATATAATTATTAATTAATGATATAATTAACTAAAAATCTAATAAATATTGAATATTGATAAATAACTTGTGCTTATTCAATTTAGTTTTTTAAAAACTTTATTATATTTCACCTTTATTGGTGGTTTACATATGCAATTTATTAAAATAAGACAATAATTACAAAATACTATTCATTTCCAGTACACAACTCGGTGCAACAACAATAAATAAAGTGCACGATATCGTATGGATATATGCACATAAAAGCCTAAAACAATACCAAAATGATAAAGCACATTTGTGGTCATCAATTGACATTGAAATTTTATCGTTTTGTAATTTTATTTTATAAATTATATTGGTTGAAATAACCAGATTTAAAAAATATATTACTATATAAAAGCGTGAAGAA